GTGATATTTTTCTTCAGGTAAGAGCTGAGTGGGCTTGGTTGAACATCCATCTTCAGTATAAAGACTGGAAGTTTGTGTATAATAATACCTTGTTTATGGTGCTGCTGTGAAATCTTTGAAGATCTGTAGAAGCTTGGAAAGGTAAAGAACTTGAAAAGTCTGTATGTCTTTAAAGAATTCAATAGTTTGAGGTTCTTATAGTCTGAGTAAGTGGGAGAGGAAGGGAGGGAAAGAAGGGAAGAAAGGTCAAAGAAAGGAAAGAAGAGAGGGAGGGAAACTTTATTCTAATCAAAAGTGCTAAAGTTGTTTATAATTATATGACTTTGCTATATATATTTTAAATCCTTGCATTGGTACTCTGGTTAATAGGTAGCCAAGCTACAGTCATACATTGCTCTCAGGCACCTATGTTCTGGACTTCATCAAACGACCAGCATAAAAATGTTCCCTTCTCAAAATCAGATGCAAATTCAAAAAAATAAAATTGTTCAGGTTTTTTGTTAAACTTGTTTTATAGAGATGGTGTCTCATTGTATTTCCCAGGCTGACCTCAGGCTCCTGGACTCAAGTAATCCTCCTGCCTTGGCCTCCCATAGTGTTTGGAATATAGGCATAGCCACCATGACCAGCCTGAGGCATTTTATATTCCAGAAATATGTACCAGATTTATGGCCAAGCCTGATATGCCAATTTAGAGAGAAAAAAACTTGGGTCAAACTAAGCCCATGGAAAGAAGGAAATGGGAAGAAGGTGAAATAATGACTGAGGCTGAAGGCGCTAACCAATGGACTCTTCAAAACAGAAAATCAAGTGTAACTTTGGTGCCTCCAGACAAGCTTAGAGCAAATAGCTTTCTTTCTTAGTTTACACTCAAATGCTCATATGGGTGAAGCACTTTGTTTTCCAAAGCCCCTACCATTACTAAAACAAAATTATTTTAACTGGGAGGCAGCTGACCTGAGTCCTAAGGTTATGAGGGTGACTAAGACATCTGCTTCAATGCAATATGAAACAATACAAACTGAGTGATGGTTATACTGAATAGCTCTAACATGGTTCTGTCTTTTGGCTCATATTTAAAAGATACATTTACCTTTGGGGTTTCCATACAGAGATGTTATTTATAATATTTCTTCCTCCAGATCAGCCCTTAAATACCCTGGTCTGTAAAGGAGATGGGAAATTTTTTGTGACTGTAAATTTCATGGTGAAGTGTTAGGAAAAGTAACAGGTTACAAATGTGAAAATCTATCTGTCATTTGCCTGGTATGTCGGTGTTATTGCCGAAAGAGTTTATCCTGTTTTTGTGGATGAAAAGCATTAGAGAAAAAAAAGAAAAATTATGTGGGTTGAGCTCAATCAATCTATAGGGACCACATGGTAGATTCATATATTTGATTCTAAAATAACTGAATTCTAGAGATGTTGCCTATAGGAGACCATCTGGCACACAAAAATGGGACATTTAGGAATAACCACTACCTGTAAAAATTTTTCCCCAGGAACACAGTATTTTGGGCTATGAAATATATTTTACAATTACACCCAGGCAGTTAGCACACAGTGGTAACCTCATATATAGTGAATTTTAAAACTCTGGGCTTCCAGAACAAAAGAAGCTTTGGGAAAAATAGGATCAGCCCTAGGAATATTTAGAATATACAGAATATGTTGTAATGAAATCAGTTACTCAGCCCTTCATGCGGGAATAGGATGTCTCCAGGATATCCCATTCTGGTGAGAAGGCAAATGATAGCAAGCTCCATGGTGTGAAAATGTGGTTATCAAATGGAACAAACTTTCAGATGACATGTGGGAGCACAATGGTGGGAAATACCTTGTACTCTAACCCAAGCAGGGCTTTTTTGATATATTCTTTCAAATAGAAGCAGAAGTAGCCCAAGTCCATTAACCTGGCACACTGAACACGAAGTCACAGTGATTTCATTTAGGAAAAACAGTTAGGTCCTCTAATGTATGAGAGTTTCTAAATAGAGACCATAATTTGCATCAGTGTCCATTAACTGCTTTGGCACCATGAATAAACCAGAAGAAGACATACTCGATTGTATAATCTGTACAGATAGTAGGTAAATTTCACTCATACACTCCTAATGGGAAGTTGATGGTCCATCTTAAAAGTCCCCTTCCACTAGGAATTCATTTCAATTCAGTCTTGTGAAATCAAGGAATGTATCTGATTATGTGCACAGAACACTTGGAATCCCAAACTCAATAGCACATTGCCTTTACTTTATACCCTAGTACAAAATAATATTTTATATGGGAAAGGGTTCTATTTGTTTGGAAGGAATGGTGAATGAATAATATAGTTATAAAACAACTGATAAATTTAGGCTATAAGTCTGAGATCTGCAATCATACTGCAAATTATTGGTGAGGTCAATTTGATAGTTGTCAATAAGACCTACAATAATACAGATATAGATGAACAAATGTTTGAAGAATTCAAACCTCCTCAATAACTGATCCCAGTGGAAAATGATTATTCTGAAGAGAAGTTAGATTTAATTAGCAATCAGTTAATTATGGTTTTAAATCAGTCAGCACAGACTTATCATAGAGTCCAAATTGCAACAGACAATAGTGGCAAGAGAAATGTTAAACTGACACAAAAACATGAGGCAACATAAAGGAATTACAGGATGATTGAACTGCCTTTTAAAGTAGATATCCACACCTGAGTTGTTACAAAAATAATCATTGGTATTTTATTGACTTGCTTGGTATATCACTGGTGGGAAAGTTGTAACTCTACTAATGTAGATAAAGAACAATTTATTATGAAAACGCCTTGACTGAGGGTCACTGGATTGGACTACATTATGCGATTGAATCTCAGGTGGTCTGGACTGACAGCATGCTTTTCTCCAGAGTTGCCTGGAGCAAAGTACTGACCACTGGCCAACACTATAAAATATTTTAACTTAAAGACAAATGGTGTTTGTAACCATGGGTTCATGAGCTGTTTCAAAGCCAGCCTGTCAGCATTGTTTAGGTATAATAATATGATTTAGCAATCTATTAAATTGCAATTGCCTTTGGTGTTGTTGGTACCTAGGGGTTTTGATGGTTGCAGCTGGTTGCACAGCAGAAATGTGCCTATGTAGCCAGCTCACTATAAACTACCCTCACCACAAGCAGGCATGGGGGCTTCCTGGTAATCAAAGCTTCACACATCTGCTGGTGATCATTCAAGATTAGAAAACAAAGAGCATCCTCTGTGATCCAACAGTGTCAGGACAATTAAGACTGAACTTGAGATTGCCTCAGACCCCTTTCAAGGCACATTATTCTCCTGCAGTTGCTATACCGTATCTTTAGCCTATAATAAAACTACCATAAAAATATAATGTTTAGGGTCTGTAAGTTCTTTCAGCAATCAAACACTTAATTAGTGCATAATTAATGCAGCATGCAAACAGGTTGTGCTATTCTAATAATTGAAGTAGAAGCTGTAATTGTCGAAACATAAGAATATCTTCTTTATTTATACATAATAACTGAACTACAGTATTTCTAAGACAAAGTTAATACTGAATACCACACTTCAGCATAGCAATACTCACTTTCTCATTGTCTTGTTGTTCTCAATCAGATTTCAGAGAGGTTTGGAAAAAAAAAAAATCTGTCCTACAATGATATTGAACACTTTTGTAAATGTCTAAATTTTGGTTGCCATTTCAACCAATTTTAAATCTTTAATGAAATTATTCATTGAATAGAGCACGAAAAAAGTTTAGCTTCTGAAGTTTTTAGTGGTCTGTAGGTCTTGAAAACAATGCTTGCAGAAAGAGTTTAAAATTTATTTCCAAAAACAAAAGATGAACTGAATAATTTATACAGTGATAACCTGAATGGCATGCAATATTTAATTTCAAATTCCATAAGTACATTTTGGAATATTGTAATATATGGAGAATCTTTGATAGAGTACACTTTTTATTGAATTAATTTATATTCTATTCAGAACAGAATTAAAAGACTCATGAATAGAGAACATGTAGAATTTGACTTTTAAAAATAGTTGACATTGTAGGATACAAAATCAGTATAAAAACAGTGTACTTGCAATAAACATTCTGAAAATGTAATTAAGGAAACAATTTTTTTTGTAATAGCATCAAAAGAAATAAAATAGGTATAACTTTAAAAAAAAGGATAAGATTTATACACAGTGTCGAAACATTGATAAAAGAAATTGAAGATCTAAATAAACAAAAGGATAACACATGTTTATAAATCAGAAGACTTATTAAGAACCTATATTCTTACAATTGATCTATAGATTCAGCACAATCTCTTTCAAAATCTCAGTTGCCTTTCTTGCAAAATTGGCAAGCTGCTCCTAAAGTTTATATAAAAATGCAAGGGACTCACAATGGCCAAATAATTCTGGAAAAGAACGAAAGATGAGTCACACCTTTTTTTTTTTTTTTTTTTGAGATTGTGTCTCATTCCTATCTCCCAGGCTGGAGTCCAGTGGCTCCATCTTGGCTCACTTGCAAGCTCCACCTCCCGGGTTCATCTACCGAGTAGCTGGGATTACAGGCATGTGCCACCAAAACCCTGCTAATTTTTATATTTTTTTTTAGTAGAGAAGGGGTTTTGCCATGTTGGCCAGGCTGGTCTTAAACTCCTGGCCTGAAGTGATCCACCTGCCTCGGACTCCTAAAGTGCTGGGATTACAGGCATGAGCCACCATACGTAGCCATAACTTCACTCCCATGGGGTATCTAAAGTAGTCAAACTCATAGAAGTAGATAGCAAAATGGTGATTACCAGAGAATTGGGGAAGTCTGGGAGCTGTTATTCAATGGCTAGAATTTCATTCATAAAAGATGAGACATTTGTGGAGTTCTGCTATACAACTTTGTGCTTATGATTAACAATACTATACACTTAAAAATCTGTTAAGAGAGTAGATCTCAGGTTATGCGTTTTTGACCACCACCATCATGAAAAAAATAAAAATAAAGCAATAACAACCACAACAAAAAGACAACCCACGGCGGCCCTGGGGGACGAGGTGCTGGATGGTTACGTGTTCCCAGCGTGCGCCCCCTGCTCGTATCCGTACCCTAACCCGGCGCCCACCAAGGGCAGGGGCGCGGCGGGCGGCGGCTGGCAGCACCGCGGCGGGGGCTGCCTTCCCGCCTCCTCCTCCTCTTCCCCCTTCTCGGCGGGCGCGGCCTCGTCGTCCTTCCCGGGCTGCAGGCAGTTGATGGCCTCCAAGTGCTTCGACAGCTACCAGCGGGCGCAGCTCATGGCCCTCCTGGAGCAGGTGGGGCCTGGCCTCGGGGGGCACGCCCGCACCCCCAGGGTCTGCAGCTGCGACGTGGCAGTGCAGGTGAGCCCGCGCGTGGACGCTGCGGTGCAGTGCTCGCTGGGGAGGCGCCTGCTGCAGTGCCAGGCCCGCGACCCCCAGTCCCCGGCCGGCCCCTGCGCCCGGGGAACAACCGGCGGCGGCTCTCCCTCCCAGCCATTGGCCCGCCGGGGCCCCGAGCAGGGCAGACCCCTGAGCGGCGCCCCGAGGCCCCTGCGCTTTCCCAGCACGGTCGCCGTGTACCCGTGGCCTCGCGCCCCGTCACCGCCTTCCTGAGGGGGCCCGGACCCAGGGCTGCGGCTGGGGAGCAGAGATCGCAGCCCGTGCGACTTCGAGGCCCAGAGGAGGGAGAGGCGTCGGCGAGCAAAGTGCCCTGACGGCCGCAGTCCGAGGACGACGAGGACGACAGCGAGGCCCCGGCCGCGGTCCGGGCGAGCGGGGAGCTGCCGGCAGACAGCCCCGGGCTGCAGCCACGGAGGCCCAGGAGGGCTCCGCGGTCGGCGCTAAAGAGCCCGGGGCAGTCTCCGCCAGCGGGGAGGGCCCGAGACGGCGACAGGCGGGAGGCGGCCGCTGGAGAGAGGCAGTCGCCACGGAGCCCGGAGCCGTGCAAGGAGAGGCTGCGCTTCCATTTCTTAGAGCAGAAATATGGCTATTACCACTGCAACAAGGACTGCAACATCCGATGGGAGGGTGCTTACGTGTGGTGTGTACAGGGAACTAACAAGGTAGGAAATCCCAGAGTTGTAAACAAACTAAATGTTCCTGCCAAGTAAAATTTCGCCACGTGGATCCTAAACGGCCCCATCGTCAAGATTTGTGCGGGAGATGCAAATGCAAACGCCTGTCCTGTGACACCACTTTCAGCTTCAAATACATCATTTAAGTGAAAGCATTGCTGTGCTCATGGAGCAAGTTAGCTTTTCTTTTTTTTTTTTTTTTTTGAGTCGGAGTTTCGCTCTTGTTACCCAGGCTGGAGTGCAATGGCGCAATCGCGGCTCACCGCAACCTCCGCCTCCTGGGTTCAGGCAATTCTCCTGCCCCAGCCTCCTGAGTAGCTGGGATTACAGGCACGCGCCACCATGCCCAGCTAATTTTTTGTATTTTTAGTAGAGACGGGGTTTCACCATGTTGACCAGGATGGTCTCGATCTCTTGACCTCGTGATCCACCCGCCTCGGCCTCCCAAAGTGCTGGGATTACAGGCGTGAGCCTTCTGTGCCTCTTCTCCCGCTTCTCAAAATGCTTCGTGAAAGGCTGTGTATTCTGAAAAATCCTTCCAATAAAGGTATTTGCAACACAATTTATACGTTGCATAAAATCTGTCTTTGAAAATAAAGTTTCAAGAGCGGTTGTCTTGTGCTAACAAAACAAAACAAAACAACAACAACAACAACAAAAACTTCTTGACACAAAGTTGCACCAAACCCATAGCTGAAGTTGCTGTAGTTTCGTCGCCAGCTTCACAATGTTTCCCTTAGCCAAAAATGAACTAAGCTGCCTTTGAGTTTAAAGCATCCATCAAACAATATAAGGCAGAGCCACTAGAAACCTACACCTGATTTTCATGACTAATACAGGAATGCTGTATTAGCGACTGGAACCACTCTTTGTGGCTAGTGGAGCCACTCCTGTATATGTATTCATATACACATCAACACAAACTGGAATACAGTGGAACTGTCCCGGTAGCAAAGTCACTCCAAAGGAATGGAAAGATCAATAGTTATTTTAGCTGATATAATAATACTGATTGGCATCATGATTGAGGCCAAATAAAAACACTGCATTATTAAAATATGGCATTACAAATAAAGTACATCTGAAACCTTAAAAAATAAAAAGAAATTGTTTGGCAGGGGAAAAAAAAACCACTTAACTTTGAATCAAAAACTGAATTTTGCATGTACTGTGGCTCATGCCTGTAATCCCAGCACTTTGGGAGGCTGAGGCAGATGGATCATGAGATCAGGATATCAAGACCAGCCTGGCCAATATGGTGAATCCCTGTCTCTACTAAAATTACAAAAATTAGTCGGGCATGGTGGCACGCGCCTGTAGTCCCAGCTACTCCGGAGGCTAAGGCAGGAGAATCACTTGAACCTGGGAGGCAGAGGTTGCAGTGATCTGAGATCATGCCACTGCATTCCAACCTGGGTGACAGAGCGAGACTTTGTCTTAAAAACAAACAAACGAAAACAGAAAACAAAAACTCAGTTTTAGAAATCTTTTTGTGACTATGTGATTCTTGTCAAGTAATTCTGTCTCTCTAAATCTGGTTTACCATCCCTTCTTCCCAAGGCAGAATTAGTCAACAGCCTTACATTTGATCTACATCCCCAATTCCTTAGCATGTTTTTTGGTCATTTGTATGATTCCATTAAATTTGAGGGAAAAGTATGAACTAGAATTTAAAAGGCCTCTTCTTGCAATTTGCTTTAGGAAACATCAGCATTTTCTGAAAACAGACAAAATGTCTCTTGGGTTTAGTCCATGGAGTCAAACAGGATTCATGTATTTATTCAAGTCACAGCGAAAACTAGAATCACAAAATCCACTCTGCTGAAATTGTAAACAAGACTCAAAATCAGAAGAAGGGATCACACATTAAGCAGAAACATAATTTAGATTGACCAAATAGGTATCCAAGGATTCTGACTCTTGATTTCTTATTGGGGTTCAAAGCAGAGATCAAGTCAGAGAATAAAGTGAAATGGAAGAACTTCACTAATTAATGGTGCAAGAGCAGATAGGAGTCTGGGCTTTCTCAGTTTGATATGAATTCTGTGACAATATAGGTGTTGATTCAATGAAGGACAAGGCATACTGGTCGATGTGTGTCCACATACAGATACACCTCACTACCAGGGCCCTATTCATGACATTTTCATTATGGTAGGGCAGGAGTTCTCATCTTTTTTTTCCCTGCTATATTCCTAGCTTTCAGATTAGTACCTGAGCTCTTACTGGTGTTCAATAAATACTGGCTGAAGAAATAAAGAGATAACTTGCAAACATGGTTTGAATATTGGTCCTTGTGCTTAATAGATGTGGTCCTTTGATAATTGCCTAATCTCTGAAGCCTTCATTCCTATATCCTTTAAAGGATAATAATATACCTCTCATATACGTGTAAGGTTTACATTACCAATCTAAGTACCTAGCAGGGTGCATGGTACATAGGAGACATTAAATAAAAATGGATTTATTTGCTTTTTTTCTCCCTCAATTCATTACTTTAACTACTGCAATTATGTAAAGCAATAGTATTACACTTTAAAAATATGATGACCACCCTTTTTTATGGTATTTTGCTGACAGAAGTGAACAATTCTCCCAATTCTGTCTCAGTTAAATAAACTTATGTGAGAAATTTTAATACATTTGTTGATTTACTTATTTAAGGAGAGACCAAATATAGTGTTTCCTGATACATTATTATTTTCTGCTTCATTCTTTAGTTTTTTTTTCTATCCTTTGAATCACTTCTAAAATCCCTTTCAGGGGCAAATTATTCCTACACCAAATTCAAGATACCTTGTGGTCTCCTCTAGCCAATAGTGTAAGCACAGGATTCTAGAGTTCTCATTAGCTTTTCAAATGAATCTAAAATTATCTGTATTTGCATATCTCTAAGTCACCTACAAAGTTATCACTGTCAGTGGCAACCATAACAGAATTCAGGATTAGTTACCATTATTCTGTCTGTATGGCAGCTACCACCTTGTAAATGTGCACTTACAATGAAATACCATGCATGAAAACTTCATGAACAACGATAAATTCACAGCTGTGTTTCCTCTTGTATATAATTAGGGCCTCAAGAAATGGTCTGTGAACAGGATTCTCTTTGCAAGAAAAAACAGATGGAGCCAAGAAGGTAAATAAGACTAGTGTGATTTGGCAAGGATCATCTCAACTCACATTATAAAAAACTTATGAAAATATTTCCCAGTTTGAGATGGAAACTAAAACAGCCATGTGTACCACATTAAAATGTCAAGTCTCCACATTTCCACCAAAAATTTGTGTTGCACCATATTGTAAAATTTTTTAAAATGCTCTTTGAGCCACTAGTAAATATACCATAAGAATAGCTATTCTAAATACAAGTATGACCCCTTGTGACAATTATGGTTTTGTCTGCCCAGTAACTGTACTGGGCACAATCGCCTCCGCAACTTCTAACAGGAGCCTCCTCCCCTCACTGCAGAGGTGAATGTGTGCCTGGGTAATGCACTGCATCTTTATCTTTTACTGCAATGACTTCCTCATTAGTTTTGGTTGCTAAACAAGTTGGACAAATCAGGCCATCCATGCCCTTTTCCTAAGTGGAATTAGCAAGGTAGAGCCTCTTTTTCTTCTTCAGACATAAATGTGACACCAAAGCTTCTGGCTATCATGTTCCCATTTTATAAAATGGCATAAACAAAAGATAAAAATGTAGAGAATCTTGGAAGTCAACTTCTATGTTCAAGTTCTGAGTTTCCTTGGTTGCTATGTTCCAGAAGTTTTCCATTCAATTGTATGGGCTGTTCCAGCATCATTCAGTATCATTCTAATGAATTCTCCATTTTTGCTGAAACAGTTTGAGTTGGATTTTATAACAGTACTTACTAAAAAGTGTACACACAGAACTTCTACAGCTGTGCAAATCCCAAAGACTCTAAAACTGGTTTAGTAGCACTTACCCTTGAATTAATGAGTCATTTTGTATTTATTGGCTTGAAAATGAGAGCATGGCTGCTTTCTGTATTAGGGCACAGAAGAAAAATAGATCATGCTTTGTTTTGCCAGTCAAATGAAGAAAATTGGTTTGAAATGTTTTCCCATGGAGAAGATTAGCTGAAATTTATAATGCATTACAGGAAATGGAACTAGAAATAACTTGAATTGATGTCATCTTCATGTATTTTTCATTGCTGCTCCCATTTCTCTGGGTGTGTCAAGAAAAGAGAATAATTGACTCTTTTAAAGTACAACAAAATACTTATATATTTTTGTTTTAATATACAATCCTCCACTTTCTTCTAATGTGAGTTGATCCTGGCTAGGAAGTCTTGCTTGCTAAACTGGTTAAGTGGGAGAATACAAAAGGAGAAAACCTAAAGAAAGCTAGCACAGGAGGATCCAAGGTGGCCAAACAGGACCAGCTCCAGAGTGCAGTTCCCAGCAAGAACAACGCAGAGGGTGAGTGCTCACTGCATTTCCAAACAAGTGTTCACTGCCCACAGACCAGGAGATTCCCAGGCTGAAAAGCACCATGATTTTTCAACACAGCTGGGCCGAGGGTTGGCACACAGAAACTCACACAAATCTGGGCAGCCATTTCAACTGGAGCCTGGAACACCTGGGAGACAGAGCCACCCATTCAACTGAAAGGGAGGGGGCTGAGACAGGGAGCGAGGCCATCTGGCTCAACAGGTACCATTCCCACAAAAGAAGCAATCTGAAACGCTCTGGATTGAGAGTTTTGCAGCAAGTGCAGCTGGACATGGGATGGTCCAGCTTAGTCAAGGAAATGGTGTTCGCTGCTACAGAGGCAGTCCGCCAACACCAAGGAAGTTCACATAGTAGCTAGGCAGAGCCTGCAGCAGCTCAGCAACACCTCTGCTGGCAGACTGTGACTAGACTACTCCATACTGAGCAGGGCTTCTCTGAAAAAAGGCAGCAGCATGTGAGGAACTTAAAAATAAAGCCGACCGTCCCAGGTCAGAGCAGCTAGGAAAAGCTGCAGTTATGAGTTCCACTGCAGCAGGCTTAAAGGTATCTGCCCAGCAGCTCTGCATGGAACAATGGAGCTCCCAGCATAGGACTTGAGCTCCTATAAGGGACAGGCCATCACCTCAAGCAGCTCCCCGACCCTCGTACACACAAAGAGATGCTT